CGGTAGAGGTGCGTGGGGCTACAAACAGCACATGCCACACACAGAACCTTCTCACATAGGTGCCCTAGGATCTCCATTGCATCTTAGATGCTTTGTCAAGTTTTGTTGTTGCCCTTTGTGGTGGTGTTAGTTTGCGTTTGCATAGAGATCAGAGCATCCTTCTCCAGATTTCCTAGCCCATTATAATCTTGGGACTAGTGAAGCAAATCGGCCACTCCCAGTTGCCAGGCAGTTGAAATGTTCCTTTGACTTTTTTTTTTTTTTTTTTTTTTGAATCCAGAAATTATGTAAGAAAGAGGTTAGTTCTTCACAGTGTGCCAGCGTGCAGCCATGGCCATCTGATACTAAAACAGAAGAGGCGGACATTGCCAAATAGTCTTTTCTTCTTCTTTCCCGTCCTCTGTTCTAATTTTCTTTCTTGAAAGGGTGACTCGGCTGCCTGTGAGAAGCCCTTTCATTTCTCTCCTGTTGCTTCCTGCCTCTTGGCCTAGGTTCCTGGAACAATGGGGCTAGGAGGATGGGGAAGACATGATTCCTCACCTCTTGGAATCAGTAGCTTCCATGGGGGAAGACCATGATTAAATAGATTATTACAACATAATCTAGAAAGGCAGAGAAAGGAAGCTGACTGTTTGCGTGGAAACACGTAGACCCAGGTTCTGGGAGGAGGAAAAGTCAGAGCTGAGTCTGGGAGGGGAGTTGCCTCGGGTGAGGGGAAAGGGCTTCCCGGGAGAAGAAACAGCCAGCACAAAAGCACGGAGGTGTGAACCTGCACCGTTGTTCGTTTGAGTCCAGTTTCCTCGGGGTTGGCAGTAGAGTGGAACCGTTAGACACTTCCTCCTTCCCATCTGTGATGAGGGATATCCCTTCTAGCTTCTCCCTGTGCTGCCTTCGGGGGCCAGAAATGATTCTCTACACTGCAGGGAGTCACAAAGGGTTTTGCTGCCCCATCTAAGACCCTGACCCAGGCTTCCTCTTTGCCAGCTAGAGGATTCCTGATCCTGCTTGAGAGTGGCTGTGTGGACGCCTGGCCAGAATGTGGGCTGTGGGTGATCGTTGTGCCATAAGGGAGCGAGTCTAACAGGCTCTGGAAGAGGCTCTGATTGTTTCGAGATCGAAGGTCTGCTGCATGGAGCCCGGTCTCTGCCCGTTGCAGATAGAGTCATCAGCCGTCCAGGAAATGGATCGCTAGGCTGCCCAGGTTTCATGTTAAAGTGGATGAGTCAACCTTAAAAGAACCAGGAAAAAAAAAGACAACACAGTGACACTCTTAGAGGCAGCTCGTAAAAATATCTGAACTGTTGGCATGCGCCTTTTCAGGTGGAAACAGCAGGCAGAAGAAGGCACCCTCAGGAAGGGTTGGTTGAAAATCAAACACTATTTTTAGTAAAGAAAATAGAAAGGGAGAGTTCTTTAAAGATGTATCATAATTCAATAGTATTCATTAATCCCTTCCAGGAGCAGGGATTTTGCCAGGTGCTGAGGATAAAAAGATGAGTATGATTTGGCTCTGCCCCAGGAGGCTTGTGTGGCTAAGAAGACCAGTATGTAAATAGGAAATTGTAATACAGCACTACAAAGAATCTACCAGGGAGATTTAAAAAAAAAAAAAAGTATGATAAAAGCATACGAGAGAGTAATTAATTCAATCCTGGGGACTTGGGGGAGAGGAGGTCACTTTCAAACTATATAGAAGGGAGACAGGGGAAGCCACTTTTTCTTTTTTAAGTTGAACCATGTAAAATTGCCAGTATTCAACCCTGTTTGACTTAAAAATGTCCATTTCACACGGTTTCACCTAACACTAAGAACAGGAATGGAAGGGAGGTTCCATCCCCTTCGCCTACTCTAATCAGATGATAGTCATTGCTTAGTAGCTGTGTTGAGAATGATTCTAAGGATTCTCGGCCAATAAGAAAGGATCATGTTGAGATTGATTAACGATGTCTACCCTGGCTAAGGGATGGGTAGAGACGGGTATCAACTGAACCTCTAGTTGCCATCCTTAAATTTTAAGGAGTTTAATAAGCAAAGACACAGAAGTCTAAGAAGTGCAGGGTGTCACCATGGTTACAGATGATAGTTCATGGTAGTTTGAAGTGGGTGGTCTATGTGGGGACTGCTGGGGGAAGATAGAAGACCCAATTCAGGGGACTCGTTGAAAAGCTATATTGATGCTGTATTGGGAAGTGCTTTGACCTTGCAAGTACTCTTCAGACTGCTGTATTTGCCCTGTTATCTATTCGACTTCCATTTTAGAAGAAACACACATTATCCATCTATGCCCCTAAAAAGCGTAGAGTGCTCCCTGCTGATTCGCTTTTGTTGAATTGAAAGTCCTCTTAAGAAAAGGTTACAAAGTACTAAGGGAACCTACAATAAGTACTTTGGAAATTAAATTGGAGGATGTTTTTAGGGAAAATAAAAGCCAAATCCTGTAAAGGCATAGATTTTGTTTACAAAGGTCAAAATCATTGCATAAAGATTTTTTTTTCTTTTTTGTTTTGCTATAAGAAAGCATCCAAATGAGTTACTTCAGTTTCTTAGGATCTACAGCATAAGAAAAATTAGGGAAGCTTCATTATGCCCTGCCACGGTTTAGCTTTCTAGATGGAATCTGTGTTGTGTCCCAGTAGAATTCTATAAATTGCATTGAAGATATTGAAAATTGGCCCAAGGGTTTTAACCGTACAATACTGAAATGCCCTTCTGGATGTGTTTTTGCTACAGTTAGATATTTTTTTCCTTTGAAACCTAAGTACCCCAAGAAACTTCAGATCTTATTTCAAACATGTTTTTTAACCAGGGGTGGGCAGGAGAGAACAGTTGGGGGGCTTTCTCAAAATCCACCTGCTGGGGTCCCACCTAGAAGATGCTGACTTGGTAGTTCTCTGCATATCCTATAGGAATATTAATTTCTCTCTAAGGTTTCTAGCAATGAGCAAAATCATACATACGGCCTGTGCAGAGTCACACAAGTACCTGCTGATGAAGAGCACTCATCATGGGGAGATACTGAGTACCTTTTGTGGGGGTAGCTTGCTTCCCATTGGTTGACTTTAGATCCCAGCCTCTGTCAACTGGCTTTGGTTTGTGGGCTATTAATCTCCATTACTGTTGCCAGTTACCTGCTAAAACTGGAAATACCTACTGAGGAGAAATTAGACCATTTGAAGGCTCATCTTCTGTGTTGTGATAAACTGTTTTTAAGTGAAGAAGAAAAAGAGCTCTCAGTTTAGCAAGGGTTGATCCTGACTGAGGCCTCTCTAGACTCTTCATGCGTTTACTACCAAGAGAAGGTCCGTTAATTTCACCCTTAGTCCAGGGACGTTTTTGGGGTCAGGGGTGGCTCTTCTCCAGCTATGAGCTTGGGATACTAGAGGAAATGTGAGAAGGACCAGGGAACGGTCCTTCAGGTAGAACATCTGTCCATGCATGACTTTTCCTTGTGGAAGATTAGAGTCCTCAGACCTGGTGATAGGGGACGGGTGAGATGGGACAGGTTAGAAGTTTCAATAGAATCTTTGTTTTACTTGGACGTAAAGTACTAATCTAGAAAAGCACAGGGGACAGAGAGTGGAAGAGGAATTTGGGGAAGGCGTCAAAGACCTCCCCAGGTGATCCATCCGTTTGGCTCGGTACCTGGTGGTGGAGTGCAGGTCAGGAGAGGACACCTGTAGAATTGTGTCACATTGTTGTAGTTCCTCTGTTTGCTGGAACCCCACTCATTCTGAAGTTTTAACCACATTTTAGTTGATCTTGGGGAGGATACACAAGGGTAGTAGAGCCATGCACTAGGGCAAGTCTCCACGGAGGCAGGAAAGTTTGCTGTTGCTGTTCTTGGTGGTGCACCTGCAAGGTAGGCTTCTCTCATGGGTGGTTGCTTCCCAGTGGTGGCGGCGACAGGGGCGTGACCTTTTCCCAGCCAGGGAAGTGACCAGACCCTGCAGGGAGGCATTTCCATCACTAATAATGGGCTTTAAAACTCCTCCAAAGTCTCTCTAGTCCTTTTCAAAGCCTTTGAGTTTGAGTTTTGCAACAGCAGGAGGGTAGAATTGATACCCTGGAGGTTCCTGACCCCAGTCGTCCCTGGAGTGGGTGGTGGTCCAGAGCATGTCGCGCAGACTGAGGAGGATCTCAGGACTCGACGGTTACTTGCCACTGCAAAGTCCCACGTTGCAAGGACGAGCCCAGTGCCCTCTGCTTTAGATCCGGAGGAGGCGGCTCATCGCTGCCAGGCAGCCATGGTCTGCGGGCTCGTTAAGCAACCTCTGCAGCTGGAAGGCGAGAGAGAGCTTTAGGGAGAAACGGGAAGTGCAGAGGCCAAAGGCTGTCTCACCCAGCTCGGGTCCGGGGTGGGTACCAGGGATGGATGGCAAAATTTGCCTTGATCTGCCTTCCTGCCTTCTGTTCTTCCTGTGAAGAACCAATTCGGAAAGACTAAAGTACAGGGAGGAAAAGTTGTCTCTAAACCTGTCAGTGCGTACGCTCTCCATCGAGTGGTTATTACGTGCCAGCCCCTGCCTTGGGGACATCTCCAGCCGTACGATTCACAGCCCTTTCTGGAGGTAGGTATGTTCACCCCTGTCTTCCAGATGAGAATGCTGAGGCACAGAGAGGTACAGCGGCTTCCCAAGATCACACAGCAGAGTGGTGTTTGAGTCAGGCGTACTGTCTAGCTCTCTCTGACGTCCCCCAGCTTCCCTTTTCAGCGTGCCCTGCTGCTTCCATTCCTGGTCTGAACCCGGGCCCTGGGGCAGCCAGCGTCCGCTACTCAGCCCCATGTGAAAAGTCATGACATGCGCTTGGTGGGCCGGGGTGGGGGGAGGTGGGCTTCCCCTGATTCCCTCGGCTAAGGCAGGGGGCTTCCTGGGGTGTCCCCGTCGTGTGCTCTGGGGTGTGGCTGCGTGTGCATTTCTCTGCCTTTCTCGTTTGCGTGATCGCTCAGGTGTAGTGTGCCTGTTCCCAAACCGGATACCGTCTCTCTCTCTCTTTCGTAGGCACGGTCCTGTTGTGCCAGGCAAACCAGGAGGGATCCTCCATGTACAGTGCCCCCAGTTCACTTGTATATACTTCCGCAAGTAAGCCCACTGTCGTGGCTCTCTTTTTGTTTTGTGACATAAACCCGAGTCCGGTCACCTTCCCTGCCATGTAAGTCCTCTCCCCCTCCCTCCGCCCCACCCTCGCCTGTGGCCCTCTGCGAGGTGCAGTCGACTCCCATAAGCATGTCTCTGTTTCCCTGTTGCCTCAGCATCCGAAACCCCCCACTCATGTCCATTCACGTCCAAATCCTCGCTCCCCGGCTGTCCTGGCCATTCCTCATTAGACCTGTCAGGACTGTGGGCATGGGGTTGACGGGAGGGCGGTGGGAGGGTGGGGAAGCCACTGCTATAGCCTTTTCTGGTAGCTTTGCAAATGAATATAAAAATAATTTAAATGATGCATGCAGGCCATGCAAAAGGCAACCCTAGCCTAGCCAAAGATGCTTCATGGGTAGTCTTGGGCACAGTTGTCTCACTATTGAAAATATAACTAGCCTGCAGCCAGGGACTTGTTTGCAAAGCTGTTCTCTCTTTTGCTGTTTGATTCCAATGAGGAGGAGGAGGAGAGAGAAGAATGGGGTTCTCCCCCATTTAACTAGGTGGGGGGAGGGGCGGTGAATAATAATAAAAAATGTCTTTTAAGAAGTGGGAGCACTTTGACATTTATAAATACAGCTGTCATCTGCTGGAGGGAGGAGACCAAAAGTCAGTATGGAAAGCAGATCAGAGTGTTGATACGGAAGAACCGAAGTTTCCTCTGCCTGGGCTGGGTGCTCCGGGGTGGAGAGTGCCTGGTCCCCATCCCTGTCCCAGAGCAGACAGAAGAATTAAAGCTCCAGCTGATTCTACCACATTGTCCCAGATGGTCTGCCCCTCCTCAGAGAGTCCTCCAGCCACAGCCAAGACTTTGTCACCTATTCTATACGATGTGTGTTAAGTCCCATGAAATTCCCAGAACTGCCGGCTGAGTCCAGTGTAGAGTTAGTGCTCAGGAGTGAGTCTGGGGGCCCTGCAGGGGAGAGTGGGTGTTTCCGGGACCAGCAGGAGAGAGGGGAGTAGGGAGGGAAGCAGAGGCACCTGGCTCACGGCTGTCAAGAGGCTGAGAGACAGAGGAGAATCCTCACCACCAGGCCAAAGTCCAGCATTTCCATTCCCCAAGTGTGAGGCTGAGACACCCACAAACTCCTCCGGGTGGTGGGGCAAGGTGAATATGTAATGAGACGACAAACCTGAGGTTTCTGACGTCTTCAGGAGGTTGGGGCAGCTGGTTATGTCTCCCAACCAGAGTATGATCATCAATGGCAGTTTTGGCGTTAATTAAATGCAAGGTATATTTCTGGGCCCCCGAGAAGCCAGAATCTAACCATAGTGGCAAGAAGTAGTTCTCTCTGAATTTATGAAAATTGTCTCATTTGGGCCAATGTAAATGTGCATGCACATGCCTCCTAAAATTATTCCTATAATGCCACTGCACATTTCCACATGTCCAGCCTTGTTTATTCCTCTTGAAACGCGCACCAGGTAGGTACCGAATGCTTGCTTTGCAGTTGAGGAAGTAGGTGGTACAGAGAAGTGGATTAATTTACCCGGAATCTCACAGCCAGGATGTGGTGGATTTGTTTTTTGAACCTGGGGAAAATATTCAAGCCTCAGCTGCCTTTCTGGGTCCTTTTGACTCTAACTCCCATCATTGTTTTCCTTTACCTGCCCTCACTTCTCTATAAATGTCATTTTCCAAAGGAGAAGTTGAGTTGAATCCCAGGGTATTATTTTATTTTTTTTCTCTGGCATTGTTGTCCTATGGAACTGTCTGGGATGAAACCTTCATCTGCTGTGCCCAAGGCAGTACTGATGGGATGGAGGCACTGATTTGATTTGATTTTAATTGATGTTACCTTAATTAGCTACATGAGGCTAATGGTCACCATATCGGACAGTACAGCTCTATATGATCACATGACCTATTTGTATTTCAGTTTTCTTTACAGAAGTGAACAAATTAACTCCAAAAAAAGTGCTAGTTTAAATTGGTACAGCTATTATAAAGTGATTGGGGGAAAGTGTGTGTCTTACATATCAAACATGGAAATATTTCACGAAGTCTGCACAATAAAATAGCCGAAGCATACAGAGAAAATGAAACCATCTAAAGCAGGGGTTGTTGCCAAGCCCATCCCAGAGCCCGTCTTATTTAAGAATGATTTTTAGATTTTCCAAGGATTATGAAAACAAGACAAACAAAGTAAAAACAAAGAAGAAGGTGTGCTAGAGACATAGGTGGCCCACAAAGGCCTAAAATACTAACAATCTGGCTCTTCTCTGAAAGTGTCCCTATCTCTGATTTTAAAGGGTCAACTTTATTATTAAAAGTGTAAAGTAGCAATATCACTTCAACTGTATATAATTATACTTTTTTCTAGGTTTAAAGTAAAAATTTATAATAATTATGGAAAGCTTAGAATGTGTGTCCAACATCCTTGACTTTTAAATTACATCATCAGTCAGTATTACCCACCTATTAGTCATCCTATTGTTTTCATTTATTATCATGCCATATGCTCTTTATGAAAATATGTTAATGACCCCACAACACTCTGTTGTTTAATCATGTTATATTTTAATCTGCCGCCTCCATTGTTGAGAATGTAGGTTCGTTGCAGTATTAAACAAAATAAACATCCTTTGATATGGCGGTTTTAGGAAAACCACAGTTAATAACTAACCCTGCTACCCCATAGAAAGGCAGAACAAAAAGTAGGGTTTTTTTTTTGTTTTTTTTACAATAAGAATCTTTACTTGTCGATCTCGTAAGCAAGGGTATTCAGAGTGGCAAGCTCAATTGATTAGTATTTTGTAGTAGTGACCAACTCGGAGAACTCCTCTTCTCCAGTTGTAGCCAGAGGGGCCTCCCGGGCTGTGCAGAGGGGCTGAGCATAAAGGTTATTGGCACATCCCTCCTAAGGTGCATTACAGAAGTTTCCTTTTTTTTCTGTGTGGCTTTTAGGTTCAGGCTGTTTGCAGTTAGCTGGCTTCTTTGCAACATACACTTAGGTTTTTTATCTTGCAGATTAAGATGCATATCCTGGTATGAAGCCATATCCTGTTTCCTTAGTCAATTCAGCCAGTGTATAAAGGGTCTCTCTCTGACACACATACACACACACACACACACACACACACACACACACAGATACATTCATGATCATGCGATATCCCTCTCCTCCCTCCGGGTCTGATTTGCACACGGCTAAGAGCTACACATCTTGTCTTGGAGATCTGATGGGCACAGCCTCTTTTTCTCTAAGAATTAATTCAACCATCTTCCCTAAAGCTGAGGCTTCCTTACTTCTCAACAATCTTTTAGGACGTGCTTGTTTTTTAACTTGAACATGCATGCGTTCACCGTTTTTATTTAATAGTCGTGCTCCTAGAGAAAGGTGTGTGTAAATTACACTTCTGTATATTGGATCCTAGGTGTCTACTGACTTCCAAGATCACTCCAGAGTTTTTTTTTTGTTTTTTGTTTTTTTCCTTCATGGATTTTTAACTGGCTTTGGATGTTTTAAACTTAAATTGCCCCTCTTCCTAACCAAATAGCTAATCATCTGTAAATAACACCCTTAAATTCAGTAGGGGAGATGGTTTTTAAAGGAACCCTGCTGAATGAGTCTGTAATGAAAGTAATTCCTATTGAAGCTATCTGCTTTGTAAGATGCACTTTTGCATATTTTTTCCTAAGTGAGTCATCCTAATAATATGACCAAGGACATACACAAGCATTAAGAGAAACATGTTCATTCATGACTTTAGGTGACTACAACCTAATCCTATAAATTCTCCTATCTGACCCCAACTAGCCCAGTTTTTTCTTTCCTCACCCCCAAACTTTAGGCTTATTGGAAACCTAGTTCAACTTGAGGGCATCATGTATCCTCTTCCCTGTTCCAATAATCCACTTTCTTCTAGACTGTAAAGTGGCCCTACTTTATATCAAACTTTGAATGAAGTAGAGCAAAACTCCAGGGAATGAGGCAAGACCACCTATTATAGTATCAAATGCAAAACATGTACTATTATTGTTTTTGAACAGGCTTTGAGTAACAAGCAATGCAAACCTCTAACAGAGAGGGTTAGTGAAGCTGGGGGCATCTTCCTGCCCACCCAGTTCCAAGGGCCGGGGGTCTGTCGGCTCCTCTTGTGCACAGTAAGGGCACAAGCTGCATCATTGCCAGGGCCGTTTGCATACAGCGAATGCCTAACATCAGACTCAGCCCCAGGCAGAAGTAGGACGGTAAAGAACGTAACACATCTCTTCCAAATGAAAACATGACTTCCGTTTTTTGTTGCTGAAATATCAAGAGGTAAATTCACTGGTTGCGTTGCGTGGATGGGAAAGTCCACTTCTGATTTAGATTAGCAAGGCGTGCTGTCCCTGATCCTTATTTACATGTGAAGAAGCTGTTGTCAGAAGCAGGTACATGTTATCATCCTTATTTTGTTTTCTTCACAATTTTATGAATAGAATTTAAATTACAAAAGTAACAGGTGCTCTTTGCAATTAGGGAAGCATGCACATAAACACACACGATTGGAATAATGTAATAATATCCCTACTTTATCCAATAACACACACCCTTAAAGTCACCTGTGTGGCCTCCCAGTAAGCACCTTTTCACGTTTTCTCTATTGTAATTCAAAGAAGGACACACACACGTACAATGGGTGGGGGTGTTAGTCATTTGACCTTATACAGAGGAGAGTATACACATATATGCTTACATGCTCATTACACATATTAATCTTATGTAGTTCCACTTAATAATATTGTGACCATCTCCCTTTAAGCGTTTGTGATATTTTCGTGCTATTTCATGCTGAGGATGGCCAATGGTTTTATTCAACCATTCTCTGTCCATAGTCACTCAAGCTACTTCTTTTCATACCCCCTCCATAAAGGGTGTAGTAAGAATGCTTGTGTACACCCTTACACACCAGCGCTTCAGATTCTGCTCCTACATGCCCAGCGATGGGATTGTCGG